CGGGGGGGGGGGTTCCCCCAGCAGCCAGCTGGCGACCAGTGGGGGTGGTTCAATGTGCTGCCAGTGAAGCCAATTTCAGGGGGGGCACTAGCACTCTCCATGCCCCCCTACCAGCTGGAGCGCTCACTGTCAGGGGGAGTACCAGTGCTCTTGTGGGGGACATGTTCCCCCCAACCCCCCCCACGTGTCACCTATGGGCCTGATCCAGTCTTTCACCATTCATTGCCTTGATCTGGCCCCATGCAACCTGCCTACCAGATCTAGCTGCACACCAATGCAATCTGGCATGCAGGGCCACACTATTCACTCTGTAGGGCTCTCCATTTTGCAACAGGACAGAGGCAATTAACACTGTCACTGCTTCCCCACTGGCAAATTTCCAGACCCTTGGGAGTCCTGCGGGCTGGATGGTATGGCTCCATGGGCCTGGTGTGGCCCACAGGTCAGGAGTGAGCACCCCTTCTCTAACTACAAGGCTGCAGGTCAAGCTTTATCCAGACCCTTCCCAGCACTCCTTTTGAAGTAGAGGTACTACTCTCCAGCTAATTGTCATGGGATAAAATGAATGGAGAGCTGTTCCACAGGATAGTTTTTGACCCAAAGGGAGCAAGACTCTGGGCTGGAGGCCCCTCCCTGCCCAAACAGAGTCATCTCACTGAGCCACACAAATCCTGGACCCATGTATTCCCCTTATACCTCTTTTTCATGGGTGCTCAGGTTACTAACTTCAAAAAGAAGGATAAGAGAGGAGCCTTTAGAATGCCCAAACTGTGGTGTGGTGGTTTGGCAATGTGTTGGGAAGGCAGAACTATGTAGGCTCAATCCTGGGGATGGGCAAGGGGCAAGAGTCAGGGCCTTGTCACATATTACACTTAGCACAAGTTAACTGCACTTAAATGTTAGTGTTTGAGCATTCAATCAGTAAAGCACATAGCAAAACTAGGACTTTTGTGGGGAAGAGTATCTCCAGATAATATTACCTAATATTAAGCTAACATCTGACTGCTCCATCGAGGTGATATGATCAGGAGACTTTGGTGCAGTGTAGAGGTTGGGACTGACAAACAAGTTGTCAGTCAAAGTCCCCCACCACAGCAAGACTCCAGTGTGGTGGGAAGGCTGGGACTTGTTTGGTCTCAGCCCCTGCAGTACACTGCAAAGTGGAAGTCTTCTAAGCTCTGGTGCTTAGGACCTTTTTTATTTAGAACATAGTAAGCATTACTGTGCAGCTGCTTAGAAAACTTTCTAACTCATACTAATGCTTACTATGATCTAAATGAAACATGTCCTACGTGTAACATGTGACCTTGGGTTCTTCTGCTATGCTGATAGCTATGCCAGATAGCTATTGGGGCTAAACACAGAAGGATCCCCCTCTAGCATCTAACACCTTTTAGTTATATATTTTGTCTAGGTACATTTTTGTGACTTAGATGCACTTAACAAATCCACAATGGGTGTACATAGGTACCCATATACTTAGCGAGCAATCCTACACATTCACACTTAAGTATTCACACTGCAAGGGTAAACAGAACTGTAACTTGCGTGTAAGTGTCAAAACCATCATCATTTACATGGCTTGAAAATTTCCACTTAGAAACATAAAGGTTAACAGAAATCTGTCTGTGTTGTATAAACTGCATGGAGAAAGCAGTGGTCAGGCTTGCTGGACTGACATCAGAATAGTTCCAAGTACAGATAGACTGGGGAAGGCTGCATTCTGTCTCTGTGCCTCTAATCTACATAGAAAGGATCACGTGTGAACCACTAGCAAGATTTGAAAGGGATGCAAGAACCAGAGGCAGAAGTCTTAGCAATTCGAGGTATATAGCTGACATTATTTTGATTGCCACTTCCTGAAGAGAACTGAAAGACCAAAGTTAAAAAATGAGTCGTTGCAGGAAAAAGAGGCAACATCTTGGATAATATTGCAAAATGCAAAGTGAAGACCACGGCTGAAGAAAAAATGAGAACTGACATAACTAATGAGACTTTGGAGCCAGACTCATTTGCACACAACTTCAATGGAAGACAGTAAAAGCAAATGGAAGTAAGCCAGGTCAGGCAAAACTTGTGCAATGGTAAACAATTTGAATGCAATATGCCTGAGTAAGGAGATTGCTAACAAAATGAAGACAAAGTTATTAAAAGCATTGATGTGGCCCATAGTAACATGCAGCTGTAAAAATGGATGTTTATGAAGGAAGCAGAGAGAAAAATATAAATATTTAAGATAGTGTGCTATAGAAGGATGCTGTTTCCTGGACCCCCCAAAAAGATTCCATAAATGGGTATTCAACAGGGATCCTGGTTTTCCCTGATAAAAACCTGCAAATTCTCTCATAAAAAAATCTCAAATTATCTGTTAAACCCCCCAAATCTCTAATTAAAATGAAAGCCCCACCCCACAACCCCTCAGCCCTACTCCTGCCCCTTCCTCCCCCTACAACCCCTCCCCAGCCCTGCTGGTGCCCCTTGCCTCCCACCCATAGGTCCTGCTCCCCCAGCCCTGCCGGAGGGGGTTCCCAGCTGTGAGGGATATGGGGCCAAGACCCTGGGTTCACAGCACTCTGCCCCTGGCAGGAGGCGGCAGCTGCTGCAGCAGTGGAGCAGAGCCTGGCTCCCTGCCCTGCTGCCCGATGTGGGCTCTGGTGGGGTGGGGGCTGCTCTTCACTGCATGGGGAGACCCATGCCCCCCATATCTGTGCACAGAGGGCTGTGCACTGCCTGCTACAGGCTCCTGCTCTGCTGCCCTCCCCTGGCACCTCTGCAGCTCGGCATGTGCAACTTCACGCTGCAAAGAATGGCAGAGCCGCATAGGAAGCTGCCTGATGCTGTGAGCTCCGTGCTGCTCTGGCAAGGCATCCCCTGCCTGAGCAGCTGAAGCAGGGTGGTAGCATGGGGGCAGTAGCGTGGGGTTGCATGCAGGGGACATGGGCAGCATGGAGCTCGCAGTGGTAGACAGCTTCCTGCATGGCTCCATTGCTCCCTACAGCGCCAGGTTGCACACACTAGGCTGTGGAGGCCCTAGGGGAGGGCAGCAGGGTGAAGCAGCTAAGTTAAGGGTGCTGTGCTGTGCAGCTAAGGGTGCTGTTACATGTTATACTCAGATCATACTAAAGGCAATTAAAGTGTAAGCATCCACTTACAGCACGGAAGCTCATGCTAAGCACCCACTGAGCATCTCAAAGTTATGTCACTTTGGGTAAGGATTATCTCTGGGTCCTGCTACCTGGGTCATGTTGCAGTAATGGTAGTCTTCTTCCATGGAGATAAAGAATGCAATCTGAGTCCTCCATCATCCCAGGATGCACTGATCTCAGCACCCCTTTACCCACTCCACAGATGATCTACTCACTTTCCCAATCTCTATTCTGCCTAGCAGCAGGTAAGGCCACATCAGTGCCAGGAGGAGGGTTGTGGTGGTGAAAGCATGGAACTTGGAAGTCCTCTATTGACCCCTGCTGACCTGATCCCAGCCCCACAACCATCCCCAGACAGCATTTGTGTATGGTGCCTCTTGAGTCAGGGGGGCATGTGCCCCCAACACCAGTCAGCGACTGGGGGTTGGGGGGTGTCTCCCAGCATCTGATCCCACTGCCGCGGGGAGGAAGGGGGGAATCCTCCATGGGCGATCTCACTCACCGTAAAAGCAGCCATGCTACTTCCAGAACTCCCGCAGCCACTTCCGGAACCAGAGTGGCTGCTTTTGCTGGCGGCCCCACTCCCTGGCTGGCGCTTGCAGGGGAGGTGCTGGTGCTCCCACCTGGCCCCCTGCCTCCCGGGCTAAACAGGAAACGTGGACTGACAGAGGGTGCACCAGCACTCTCAGGGGGTGCATGTGTGTTACCGTGTACCCCCTACATGTCGCCTCTGCCAGACAGGGCTGTGTCTTTTGCCAGGAGCCAGGCAAAAGACAGGGAAAGTTCCATTAACTTTGGTTACTTGATGTTAACTGACAATTTCCCATGCTGCCTGGCTTGATTTCCCACAAGTGCTGCTGGCTCTCCCCTGGCCAGGCAGCTTGATGGGAGCTCTGGCTTCTCTTACTTCCCCCATTCCCATCTGGGGTAGGGAGATGGGAGAAGGCTATGCACAGCAGGAGCATGGAGCTACAGAGAAATATGTTTCCCTGCTCCATGTGGCTTCATGTTCTTGCTTTGCTAAGGCAGCTCCATGCTGGCAGCAGAGCCACCAGGGGAGGTGAGAAGGGAAGCTATAGCTCCCATCAAGTAGCCTTAGCAAACCAAGCCAGTGGCTCTTGGGGAAAACAGGGCCAGGCAGTGTGGGAAAATTTCAATTAACCCTGAGTAAACACAATTAACTGAATTTTTCCCTGGCTTTAGCCGGGCTCCAGGCAAAAGGCACAGACCTCTCCAGGGAAGGCTGAGGGGCTGGAATTGGGCTGGGGGTTTGGGATAAGTCTGGCAGGGGACATCTCTCTCCCCACCAGCCCTCATCTTAGGCCAGGAACTTGGTGGTGGAAGGGTGGTGTGTTGGGAAACTACAGCCTCCATCAGGGTGGATAAAAATCAGTGATTTAAAAAAAAAATAATTTTTTTTTAAATTGGATTTTTTTATTTAAATCATTTTTAAATTTAAAAAAATCATCAATAAAATACTACATTTCTTTCCCATTTAAAAAATAACAGTTACAATTAAATCTCATGACAAACATGCTGAAAACCTATACTTACAGTCTCATAAAAATGAATTAATGGCTCTGCCACACTCGCACACATTTGAGTTACCTACCAATCAAACATGGGCATTCATTTCAGTTTGGTCAGTTTAATGACCAGCTCTTGCTTCTTGAAAGTTCTGGGCTTTCAGTTTCTGTTTCTCAGCAGACTAAAGTCACATGTGCAAAGACAGGCTGGATAGGACTGTTGTTGTTCTGTGCTTATGTGGTGGTGGAGCTGGGTCAAGCAAGGCAGAGCAGTTAGTTAAGACAGAGAGACAATATAGGAAAGGACGGAGGCAGAGTAGAAAGGAACAGTGGAGTGGATGGGAAAGAAAAAGGGAAGACATTATTCAGTAGTACACACACAGCTACACACACACGTATTTTCCCCCATACTTTTGCCACAGAAAAAACTATCATGGCTTCTGGGCATGAGAGAGACCCTATCTGGCAATATTTTGAAGAAATTCCTTCCCTGGGTAAAAAAAGAAAATGTGTCAAGTGTAAGCAGTTCAAGAAGGAGATGCAGGGCCTCGCTGCAAGAATGAAACATCATAATGAAAACTGCTTATTGGGAGAAAATGATATGGATGAAGACGTGGATATGTCTGAAGAACAATGTGGATCAACTAGTTAGTACATTTAATAATTCACTTTGCAATGCATCATTCTTGAAGACTCTCTCTCTATGCCTTTTAGTATACATGTGCTTTAACAAGTAAATTCCCATGCTGTTTGCTATTCAAAAATCATTTTGGTTTCAGGATCCCATTTAAGCATGACTTTGTCTATCTGCAACAACTTCAGAGTCATCCATTGGTACTTTTAGCAGCAGTGCTGCAACTAAATGTATTTCAGACAACAAAGTATCAGTAGCGAGCAAAAGATTTCAGTCATCCAGTAAAATAACCACCATGGATGGGTTTATGGTAAGTGTTAGACCCCAACTCCATGCAGCGCCCAATGACTAGGGAGACGACAATCCAATTGCTCATGAATCCTGTTACTCATTAGCCAGAGCAAGCAGGGAGCAAACACCAGCACACATTGCTCGCAACAGCTTTATTTAAAATGGAGACAGCTTTGGACTAGCTCCCAAAAAAACCAACAAACAGGGGAGCTGCACTGATCATTAGTTTTTTTTTCACATTTTATACACCTTGGTTCATGCTCATTAACATACCTTCCACCCTCACTCCTTTGGTTCCACCCATTTCTCCTCCTATCTCAAGCTCCACCTCTGTTTGCTTCATTAGCATGGAATTGCTTATGAATTTCATTCATTTACATGCCTCTCTGCTAAGAGCGCATGCTCAAGACTTTGACCTCCACTTCCTCCGGTCACTTGCTGGTTGTTTCTAGTTTCTTGTTGACTCCTTCTTCATCTCCAAGGTCTTGCTTCTTCTGTGTTATCTCCTGACGATAGCTGGTGGGCTGCATCTTGTTCTTCTTACACAATGGGCTCTATACTTTACAACACTATGACCTTGTTAGAAAACTGCTTGCTTAAGCATTTGCAAAGTTACTTTTAATATATCATTTTGTCTTGTGGCTAGCAGCTCTGCTGAGACACAGAAAAAAGCCTTTATTCAGCCGCAAATCCAGTGCTCCCCAAGATCCAAATACAGTCACCCTAACACTAAGGACCAGCAAATAGCAACAAGACACCATAGATTAAAAGACTGCTCAGTTCATTTATGCCACAAATTCTCCTTCTCGCATTGTTAACAATAAACACTTCATTGACATGGTTGAGTGCTTACGACCAGGCTGCACTCCACCTGGTAGAGCAGACATTGGTGGAAGATTGCTAGATACAGTGTATAAGAAGAAACTTGAACAGTCTGCAAGAAATACTGAGGGGAAATTTGCCAGTTTAAGCCTTGATGAGTGGAGCAATGTACACAATGATTCAGTAATATGTGCCTGTGTGACAACAGAAGATGGGGTTGCATATCTTTCAGAAACAATAGATACATCAGGAAATGCCTGCACAGCAGAATATTTAAAAAGAAGTGGCAGTGAAAGCTGTAATAAACTGTGAACAAAAATTCAACTGTCACATGTGCAGTTTTGTCACAGACAATGCTGCAAATGTGGCAAAGATGAGAAGATACTTAGAAGAAAAAACAGAAGGATGCTCTTTAATAATATATGGCTGCAGTGCCCGTTTAATGCATCTTTTAGCCAAAGACGTAACTATTTCTCCAGGAATAAAAGAAAATGCTGTTTAAGTCGCAAAATACTTCCATAACAATCAGTTTGCTTTAGTTTCACTGAAGACAGCAGGAGGATCCAAGCTAATTCTTCCTCAAGATGTTTGATGGAATTCTGTGGTTTATTGTTTTGAACGATTTATTAAGAACTGGCCTATTCTCATAAAAAAATTGTGAAGAAAGCCATGATAAAATAGATGGAAGTATATCATCCAAAGTATATAACACTGGATTAAAGAGGAATGTACAGGACATGCTCAGTATACTGAAGACTATATCTATAGGCTTAAACAAACTTCAGAGAGATTGTTGCTGCATTGCTGATACTGTTGAAATTTGGAAGGCACTTCAAGAGACATTGAAGAAAGAAATACCTAACCAGAAAGTTAAACTGCAGGCAATACAGAAGTGAATGGATCAAGCACTAACTCCACCTCATTTTCTTGCAGATGTTCTCAACCCCAGATATAAAGGTAGATGCCTAACTTCTGAAGAAGACGCTACTGCCATGGCATGGGCATCTCAAAATCACTCCTCAGTTATGCCAGTCATAATAAATTTCAGGGCTGAAGGGGAACTATTTGAACAATATATGTTTACTGATGATGTTTTGACCAAAGTTACTCCCCATTGTTGGTGGAAATCATTAGCCAGGCACCTTGAAACAGAGTTGCTTCATTTGCTAAGCCAACTTTTCACAGCAGTAGCTTCCTCTGCAGGCACAGAGAGAATATTTGCATTATTTGGTATTATTCACTCAAAGCTAAAAAATTGACTGGGAGTTGGAAAAGCAGAAAAACTCATATTTCTGTTTCAGTCTATGAATAAAAATGACAGTGGGAGTGGGGAAGATGAGATCTAGTTGTAGAAGTTTTAAGGACAGCATGCACTTAGTGTTGTGAAGACTTGTCTGTTAGAGTTAATAAAATTTGAAAATTAAAAAGACTATTAAGGGCAGATGTTGTAAAATGCTGTATTGAGTTGTAAATTAACACATTTTAGTGATCAGATTTGTGCAATTATTTAATAAATATGTAAAGAAGTATCAGTGGGAAACTTGATATAAATCAATGATTCAAATCAGGGTTTTCCCTTGGTGATTTAAATCACCCTGATTTAAATAGATCCACCCTGGCCTCCATGGGTCTCTACCTTCCAACTCCATGCTCCTGCTGCAGCAATCCCTGCTCTTTCCCACCCCTCCCCACCCAGAACTGGGACAGAACCCAGGCTTTCTAGCTCCTAGTACAGGGGTAGGCAAAATGGCTGATTTGGTCGGCAGCCAGACTCCATTGCCCAGCAACCCCTGCCTGCATGGCTGGGGCCAGTTTCCATGGAGACCCCAGCAGCAGCTGCACTGTGAAAGCTCAGGGCTGGGGTTGCTGTGGAGACCAGCCCCAGCTGTGCTGGCAGGGTGCATGGCATAGCAGGGCAGAGGGCTGTTCTGGAGCAGCTGGGAGTTTGTGATGGGGGCAGCTTGCTCCAGAACCAGGGGAGAGCTGCAATCTGTAGCCTAGATGCTCCAGGCAGAGGTGTGCAGGCAGGGGATCATGGTTCTGCCTCTGCTCCACACCAGGCAGGGCAGAGCTGCGATCCACTGCCTGCACACCACTGCCTGGAGCATGCAGGCTACAGATTGCAGCTGTGCCCTGACTCTGGACCAAGCTGCCCCCGCCGCAAGATCCCAGCAGCTCTGGAGCAGCCCCCTGCCCTGCACTGCCACGCGCCCTGCCAGCACAGCTGGGGCTTGTCTCCATGGCAAGCCCAGCCTTGCGCTTTCGTGCACATCTGTGGCTGGAGTCTCCATGGAGACTGGCCCCAGTCATGTGTAGGGGTGGCTGGAAAATGAAGTTCACTGCTGACTGGATTCAGCCTGTGGGCCAGACTTTGCCCACCCCTGTCCTAGCCACACCCCTGCTTACCAGCCCTTTTGTGGCAAGTCAGAACTGTGCAGGTCAGAGATGTATTAAGCCTTAATGTGCAACTGCTCAGAGCATGTTCTAATTTTAATACCGCTTACCACTTCATAAATGTAGTATGGTGTAAGTGTAACGTGTAACTTATTTCCTAACACATTCTAACATTAATAGGTCATTGCATTCTGTTGATTTGTAACTGTTGCAAAAGAATGTGACACCCTCTTAACACATACTAACTTATGTCACCACAGTGGTGCTCAAAGTTTAGGGCTCATGGGCCAGATGAGTGGTGCACGGCCACTATGCAGGCCAGATTGGGGCCTATGTGCCACAATCAGGCCCCTCAGAGCCCGGGCTGGCCCCCATACATGGGGAACGGACCCCATACCAGCCCTGAGTGCTAGTATTGGGTCCTAAAGTCCTAAACTGCTCCTGCCCAGCTCTGCATGCTGGGATGGGACTGCAGGCCCTGCTTTTCCTGTGCCCTCTGGGATTAGGCCCTGGGCTACCCCTGCCCAGCCCCATGCACCAGGATTGGGTCCTGCATGCTGGTATCAGGACCTGAGGCCCTGTGTCACCTCTGCATGCCCAGATCAGGTCCTGGGCCCCACACTGCCCCTGCTTACCTGGAATGGGCCATGCACTGCCCCCACCCAGCCCCACACACCAGGATCAGGCCTTGTACACTGGGACCCTACACCACCCCTGCCTAGGTCCATGTGCTGGGATTGGACTTGCACAGCTCCACCCAGCAATGTGTGCTGGGATCAGGCCCCATGTGGAAGTACTGAGGCTCAAGCTGCCCTGCACACCCTCAATAGCAGGCAGGGACATGCTATCCAGCTCCTGGGGCTCCCCATATGTTAAAAAATTTGGCAGCAGGGGAGTGCTGGCACCCCAAGGGGCACCCTGTGGGCTGGATCACAGTGCTGGGGTTGGATTTGGCTTGCAGGCTGGGTTGAGCACCCCTGCAACATAACATTCCAATAATTTGCAACTGTTTCAAGTGAACATGTGACAAGGACCTTAGTGACAGATGAGGAGGAAAAAGCTAAAGTACTCAATTGCCTTTTTTACCTCAGTCTTCACAGGCAAGGTCAGCTACCAGACTACTTCACCTGGCAGCACAGTTTGGGGAGAAGATGAGCATCCCTCACTGTTGAAAGAACAGATTAAGAACTATTTAGAAAAGCTGGACATGTACAAATCCACAAGGCCAGATGCAATGC